CTTAAAAAAAAATAGTGCCATTCGGAGCCTAAACCTTTTATTTTTTTCTTTTTGCAGAAATGGTAGACCAAAAAATAAAGAGTTGAGATTTTTTAACATAATTTTTTTCCTCCTCTGTGTCAGCAAGCAAAAACCCTTTTTTCTTTTGACAAAAACTTGATTTTAAGACCGATGTGTAAAAATTATGTACAAAAAGACTTTTTTTAAAGAGTTAAACGAGTTACAATATTGTTGTATTGTTCCTCTCTTGATGATCCTCTTCTTTAACACCAGCGAATAACCCTAACTCAACATGTTGTTCCTTAATCCTGCTTATAACCCTTGACAGATCTTCCACATCACCAACACCAAACGATGAAAACATTGTGTCCTGTCTTCTGCTTCGAGACCGACCTTGCTTGATCTTTAGTATGAACTGTGTGGCTTCTCCAATGGATGGTCTTTTCCTTGGTGTCTTATGCACACATATGTTTGCAATCTTTGCCATTAACCTCACTTCTTTAATGCTTGCATTGTCCACTAGTTTCTGATCCACTATTTCATTGATACCATTTGGACTCATAGAAGCCTGATCATCAAGAAAACATAATCAATGATCAAATTGTCTAATCACTGAATTTTGGGTCGATTCGATGAACTTTTGGTTCATTTAGTTCGAGTTGCTTCAGTTTCGGGTTGACTTGAATTTTTTTGTTTGGTTCATTGAGAATGATACACCGAAACTATAAATGTCGACGCTCTTCATCGTGTATTTGTTAGTCGAAATGTAAGGGTACCCGTGAGTACCCTTCAATCCGGAAGTCATTCTATCCAAAACCATCTCTTTGGACAACCCGAAATCCGCAACCTAGAAAAAAAACACACCATATTTTACAGCTCTAACCAAACAGTATTGAGTAAGTGAATTCAACGTTTGCTCTCTTACCTTAACTCTCATGGAGTGGTCTAACAATATGTTTGCTGATTTTAGATCACGGTGACTAACGCCTTCATGAAGGTACTCAGTGCCGTGGGAGATGTCAAGAGTGATTTGAAACCGCTCTTCCCAACACAAAGAGTCTCGTCTCTTCGCCTGAAAAGCTAAGTAGAAATCTTGTGAAACACTAGAGTAATCAATCTCCTGTTGCGACTAGAACCGGTAAAAGGAATCAAGGATGACTAACCGCCATAAAGTTTATCACTTCCCCGTTATTTTTTTGGAGAATTCTCATTTCTGTCATGCTTCATCTGTTTCTGATCCTAATTTAAATATGAGTGATATAATGAGACATCAGTTTTTGTTTCAAATTCCGGATCCGTTTTTATTCCCACCCTATTACGTTTCCAATTTTCGTTCGTTCATTCCTATGCCAGAAACAACCGTTTAAAAAATAAATAAACTTAGGT